TTCCATAGCCTAAATTAATCACAAAATTTAGCTTCAAACTCTTACTTTTATACAATAAGAATATATCCTTACCAGATATCTGAATCTTTCATTTTGTAACTTTTTTCAAAATTAAATTTTAATTTTGACACATTTAGTCTCCATGTCTAAAAAATCTTGAGACTACTTGTCTCACATCAAATGAATAACTTTATGTAACTTCTTTAACTTTATTGGTGAGACAGTAAACTCCAGACCTCTTTCCATTCAATCTGTTTATACATTGAATTCCAAAATGGTTTGCATTTAGGCCATGATATGTTTCTGTATAATGTTTTTACATAAAAGTGTTGTTGTTTTTTTATCAATATTCTTCACACCATTAATACTTAACTGATTAGTATATAGGGAGAAGATGGCAGTATCGTCTGCTAATTAAGCACATGTAATGCCACAAAATGTTTCCCTTGTAAAATGTAAGTTTAAGTTGAAAGCCATTTGCACAGGTACGTTCCAGTGTGTACATTGGAATTCTTGTGCATTTCTCGAAATAAGCTTTTGTGAAAATTTGCAAGAGAAGTAGGAGCAGCAAACATTTTCAAAAGTGCAAAAAAGAGACACTATGCAAATACACAAATAGACAAATAGATACACATTATAAAAGGTATGGTAAATAAATAATATTGCACGTTGTAGACTATAGGCTACATAATATTGCACATGTTGGTTGACAGAAGTGCTTGCTCTCAACAAGGCCTCTGTAGACATGGACGAGGGGCTGATATTGAAGTCTGGCCTTCTTCTTCAGTCTGATGAAATGCAGCCGCTGCTCTTTTCACTGTTACTACGGTGTTTTTTAGCCCAGCTAAGGTTCTCTGAAATGTGAAGGCCGAAGAACTGAGAGTCCACTCCACCTAGTGCCACCCTGTCATCCACTGATCTGTTCAAGCCGTAGGCAAACTGAGGAGGGTCCACTGTGTCTGGAACCACAGAGTTTATGTAGGACCAGCTTCATCAGCTATTCATCACCTGTGATCCAAGATGCTTACTAGACAACCTCAAGTCAAGTCACATTTATATAGCGCTTTTTACAATACAGATTGCTTCAAAGCAGCTTTACAGAGATAACAGAAAGAGAAAAAAAAGTTTGTTTCAAAAAGAAAATAGCGTCACAGTCCAGCTTAAGTAAGTTCAGTGATGATGTTTCATTTTTGTTTTAAAAAAGTTATTCATTTAGTTCATATATAGCCGCTCTGGAGTAAACCGTGATGTCATCGTCCAGCTCAGTTCAGTTCTTGTAGGCTATAATAGTGTCAGTGCAGGCAGATCAATATTATTGTTGAATATTAAATTAAATGTTAAATTGGATGTCCCCAACTAAGCAAGCTATAACATCTTCTACGCCAGATTCGACCAACACAACAGAGACACCCCTTTAAAGGCCCAGCAAAAGAAAAACAGAAAATCACTCACTGCTCTTGATTGAATTAACTTTAGTAACTTTAAAGTCCCCGTGAACCGGAAGTTGCAAACGACTTTTCTCCAGTGTTGTGACGTATTTCCGAGAGAAACGGAATACTAAATGAGGCAAAATAGTGGGCGTGGCTTTTTTTCCAACTAGCACCTGATTGGATCTAGAAAAGTAGGTGTTGTCATTCAGCCTGTCTACTGTCAGTTGGAGGGGCGTGGTTACGGATGTTAAGCAGACACCCAAACCGTCAAACCTACGTCATCAAGGAAGGTCCTCCAACGCAGAGGGGAGGGGAAATTTCAGATTTTGATTAAAGATTACCAAGCCCAACAATTTTTTTGTGTGGATTGACTTGCATGGATGAATTGTTCACCACAAAACAATCAATTTAGGCAAACAAAGTAAGTATGGTCAATTTTTAATTCATGGGGACTTTAATAATAATACATTTCTTACATGAATGCTGCTGTTAAATGCTCTGGTGAGGAGATAAAGATGGCGGACTGTGTACAGGTCACTCAGGGCGGGGTCTATGCTAATAGGGCAGAGTCCGTCAGCAGTCGTGGGCGTATGTGACGTCACAAATGCTATAATCTGCAGTTCTGATTCTGATACACTGATTATGATTTATGGGAATTAAAAAAAGAGGAGTGGGTGGATTTTTAACATGATATGGGGGGTTGTGTACACACACTGCCAATACACATTTATGTTCAAACACCATGAAAAAGTGAATTTTGCATAATAGGTCCCCTTTAAAATTTTAAGAACAATCAACTTAGCTATACAAGTCATTTCAACTTAAATTACATTAAACTGACTTTAAGAAATTAGTTGAATCTTGTATCACTTGAAAATTAAAAAGAAAGTTTGTTTTGATGAAATAACATATGTTGAATTTATTGATTATTTAGTGAGGTAGTGTTGACTTGCAGTGTCCAAACAAGAGACAGCAAGCTTTGAAGTTGAGAGATGGAACACACACATATAAAGCACATAGCTACTTCATCATAAAATCTATGTTTATTTGCAATAATAATATTAACAGCAATATTAAGAAACTCCTGTTGTAAGAACAGCAAATGGGCTGAAGGACATCATGCTCCATTGTCAAGTAACATTACAGACGATAATGAAGAAATTACATTGTCTTTCATTCCTCCATTCACCAAGTGCGTTCAAAACGGCTACACACAAGTCCCCACTTCAAAGGCTCCGCCCTTTGGAACGAGTAGGGCATAGGGATACTCATTTCCGATTGGAATTTGCCCTGACATAAAATACTATAAATACACTGTTTTTAATGGGATCCTCCTTTTTTCAGTGCAGTTACAACACTGATGCAGCAAATATTATTTACTTACCAACACAAGGATTAAGTAAATGTTTCAAGGGAGTGAACACAATAAAAATGAAGTCAAGACAAAATGCAAAAGAATTGTTGCATCAGCTCATTTTAATAAAGTAAATTGACGAGCAAAAATCACGTTGAGTGAATGCCATTTGTTTGAAGTCTGAATCATAAACAGTTTATTGCAACATGATCATATCACTTTTTTTATGAATGCATTTAATTTCGCTTGGACTTACGCAATAGAATCATTGTCTCAAACATAAATACAGTAGTCAACATTTGAAGTGGTTCAAAAAAGTGAATCAAAGTTGTCCTAAGACAAGAACGGGTAGTGTTCAAACTTCATGCATATAACTTTGATGAAAGGTTTTGATCCACTTTAAATGTTGACTACTGTATATTAAGCCCATTGTAAGCGTATTGTTTTAGTTTTCAATAGAGCATCTTTCCTCTTTTTTCTCTCTCAGAGAGACATCAAAGTAGCACAATTAAAATAATGCAATTTTTCATACCTGCAGTAAAAAAAAAAAAAAAAAAAAAGCCCTGTTATCCGCCAAATGAAGATACAGCCTATTGTCTATATGCGTGTTGTAATTAAACTGGATGCAGCCTGCGACTGAGTGGGGAAGCGGATGGTTTATTTCTCCATAGCCATTATTACCATTGTGAATTCAAACATTACCAACAAGCACCATTGTGTCTCTAGAGACTGTCTAAAAGGTGTTACTTAAGCTACAATGAAGTATAAAAGCATCTGCTGAATGACAAAGTAAGAAAATTCCACATTTAATTTCTTGTAAACATTATGGGACATTAATCAACAGGCTTAAGTCATGTTGATTGCACACAACAATCAGAGACATACGAATATTATCTACATGTAGGCTAATGTGAGCACAACAGTGGTGGCCTGAAACTGACATTAGCTGTTTACATTCAAAGTTGCAAATTTAATTTGAGCGCAAAATTGGAATTTCGCATAAAACATTTGTGAATAAAGCACCATTTCCATCTGTTCAAGAGCACAAAGTCATTACTTCCTGGGAAATTAGTGCAAAATATCTGTTATAAAAATGTAAGTTGCTGCAATAAACGTCCCCCCATCCCTCTGTAAATGTGCTTCCATCGTAGTTTATGTGCATGTCTTCTTATGGAAAGAAAATGTAAAATGTATCTGCCTCAATTAAGCGCATATGTTTTTAAGGCTAAATTTACTTGGCATTTCCATCCAGTGGTTTTTTTATGCAATATCCCAAAATGCGCATATTTGTTCAAAGGCATGCTTTTTTCCCTTCCATATTCATTGTCATTAAATCAGTGATGCTCAGAGATAATCTTTCAAATAAACAAGCAACATTCCCTCTTCCCGGCTATTTAAGCAAGGATCAGTATTTCTGCTATAACCAGACAGATTCATTTACCATATTTGAATTTTTTTACATAGTATTCATCTTATTGTGAATGCTTCATTCATGTATATCAGACTTTTCCAATAACTTCGTCCACTTAAATCTCACCCCTCCACAATCAACAGCAATCTCGCATTATTTTTTAAAGGGATAGGTCGCCCAAAAATGTAAATTGTGTCATCATTTACTCACCCTCAAGTTGTTCCAAACCTCTTTCTTCTGCTGAATACAAAATAAGAAATATGGGTAACCAAACAGTTGATGGGCCCCATTGACTTCCATATGAAAAAAAAAAGAAGAAAAAAAAGACTACGGAAGTAAATCAACTGTTTGGTTACTGACATTCTTCAAAATATCTTCTTTTGTGTTCAACTATCCTTATAAGTGCAATGTCCACATCTTAAAATCCAATCAACAATCATTTTATTTCTCGATATAAACCTGTTTCACGTCACATTAGGAATGACATAAATAATGGATCTGTTGCTGCTTCCATTTCATCACGATTAAAGAATATATATTTGAGCTGAATTCACATAAAATCAATGCAGGTTTGAACACGCTTAGGAGTTGCATATTTGATTTAGTTTTCCATTTAGATTTTATTATTGTGCTTGTAAGCTAAAAGAATGAATACAAGGCTTGTTTGGATCCTTCATAATTGATGATATTTTATCATTATGACTTAGCACCTCTAAGTAGTCTTCATATTTTAACCATAACAACTTGTATAATTCTCAAAAAAAAAAAAAATCAGCTAATGATCATTATTAAATTCACACAGAAAAATGGAAAAACATATCTTTATCTTATATACACTGCTACATCCTGAGAGGACATCCAGAGATAGAGCCATATTTAATGTTTCTGCACACTGGATTAGGCTTCAGACAGTAACATCATCCTGTTGAAATAACAAATAAAGTGTAAATATGCATGTTTAAGGTGGAAAATACATTTGATGTGAACACAATTTGTGAGTTTCTAAACATTTGTAGATTTCAAAACATAAACTGTACCAACGGATGTGAACGGGAAAGTTTTAACTTTAGTCTAGGTTTTATTATTATTGATTTTTTCATGGTATTTAACACTCGTATTTTACACCTGTTGAAGTTTCTCCATCCAATGGATCTATTATCTCATTTGCCCCTGATACCTGATGGAGTCTGGCAAATAAACTGAATGCAGGCATTATTATTGACAGCATGAGGGTCAGACGTGTTACACAATGTTTTCTCTGTGAAAAATGATTTGATTCATCCAAGTTGACTTTTCAAACCCCAATCAAGTAATGAATGAATGTCACAATGAAAGAAGGTTGTCTAACTCTTGATTGTTAATTTAATCAAAACACAACATAATTCAAACAAATGCAACAAAAAAAAGGGGGAAAAAAGATCACTTTTGTTCACTCTAACGTGTGAAAAATGCTTTGAGACCCACACGGCAAACAATGCAGAACATTAACAATAACAATCAAATTATAAATGGACAAACAGAAGAGATTTTTCTCTGAGCTAGCGTATTAATAACTGTTGGCAGAGATCTAACGGAGTATGCAGCTCAATATCAGTGCATATATGAACTTCACACCATGTGAAACTGAATTTGCCTACTTAAACATTTACAAGAGTAATACATATTTAATATTAAGCAAGTAGTGCGTTTTAAATTGTCCCATCTCATCGGTTGTTAAATGTCAGTCAGTCACACACACTTACCATATGTCCTTATATAGATTCCTGCTAATCATTTTCATATATCACAAAAAATAAAGCCTATGGTTTAGTAATTCCCATTACTGTAAATTGATTCTTTTTAGATTCTTTAAAAACATACAAACAAACACTTAGTAGAGTGCAACAATCAGGTTCTGGAAGAAAAAACTCCATTCTTTTCTCCATAAGAAAAAAAAATATTTGTAACAATAACTGACAAACATTTAAAGACAGACCTACTGTGAGTTGAGGATGTTAATTGACGGTATATGCTTTTGTTGAAGACATTCGTGCACATTATTTCATTTTTTTTGTGATTAACAGCTGAATTTGTGTGAAAAACCACTGTGTCACTGAGTCACTGTGAGCAAATCGCACCAAAAAAAGCTGGCAGGGAACACACACCCACCCATGTAGCACCGACAATGACTAATATATATATATATATATATATATATATATATATATATATATATATATATATATATATATATATATATATATATATATATATATATATATATATATATATATATATATATAAACATAACATTAAATGATTTTTTTCTTCTATTTCTCCAGTTTTTCATTTGATTATGTAATTCACAATGCTTCATGGGATTGTCCTTGGTTCTTCATGGCTTAAAAAAAAAAAAAAATCCAACACCAACACCACTGTAAAAATGAGCAGGATTAATGCATTCTATGATTTTCATATAAGGCGCAATTTTTTATACAAATTTCTTCTTATTTTTTTTACTGTGGGGTGAAATGACCTGGTGTTCTTGACGGGTTTTTGAGATTTAGCCAACTTTATGTTGGCAGTTTATGTTAACAGCTATCAAGTATTTCACCCAAATTGCCATCAGTATTGACAATTGTCTGGGATGATGGATGGATGGATGTGATCAATGAAAAAAATTGATGCATTTGGTTAAGTTTTCTAAAGTAGCAACAGCTTCACATACCAACAACAACTATATTGAAAATGTTCAAAATGCACTTCATTTAGATGAAACATGAGACCCATATGTAAGAACCACAGATGGTAAACAAACAAAAAAAGAAGCTTGATTTTAAAGAAACAAAACCCCTTAAACCAGCTTGGAAGAAGAAAGACTTGAAGGCACCAGTGAAAAGTTTACTCACAAATTTAAGATTAAATAAAATTCAAAACCTCACCTGCTATCCAATAAAATTAAATAAAAGTAAATACTCTAAACAGATTTTTTTTTTTTAGCTGTAAAACTACATATAAAAGATGGGAAAGTCTGCTGAAAATCAAGAGATAAATTACATTCAAAAATTGTTCTTCAAATGGTTATTCTGCAAAGCAGAATAGCATACATATTACAAAAAATAAATATCTTCATTGTTTTTTTCTTTCTTTGACACAAATCAGTTCCAATTGTGTCAGACCGAATGAGGACAAAACAAAGCTCATCAAATAGTGTCTTTAAAACACTGGTGCTTTCAGCTCATCAAAAGGTTCATAGAGAGAGAGAACACCCAAGCTGAGGATTGCAGGCAACTATTTCCAGCACACCCGACCCTCCAATTACAGCAGATTGAAAGTTTGATGGGTTACCCAAACCGATTATTGTCACTTAGTTTCCAGAGGTAAAAAATATCTTGCAAGGCAGAATTTGAGAGTTGCACAAAATGAGAGCAAGAGGAAAAAGGGAGAAGAGATTCACATACACCACAGTTACAACCCCCCCAAAATGGCTTGTCTTCATGTCGCAGTCTATACCTTACTCCTGAAGAGTGGCTTGGCTCCAGGCCCACAGTACTCATTGTAGATGAGTTTGAAGAGGAAGAGGTGGAAAAGCGTGATGAGAGATGCCACACTGAACCAGAAGAGGAAGGGCAGGCCAGGGTACTGTTTGGCCATGTGGTCCTCGTGAGCCAAGATGGCCTTGACGTGCATCGTGTGCCTCAGGTCTTGCAGGTGAGTGAGATCGGTGGAGATGTACAGTAGAGGCGTGATGGGCTGGGTGACCATCACAGGAAACGTGTGACCTCGCAGCTCTGAGGTCAGCTCCACAGGCTCGTTCATGCAGCCGGCCTCGCAGGCGTACAGCTTCACAGGTTTCTCCTGAGGCTTGACGGACACATGCAGGAAGGGTTTGCCTTCGACGTCCTGCAATACGGCCAGGTTGATGAGGTCTTTATTATAATGGATACCCCTCAAAGAGTAGCTGTTGTGAAGGACATCGGGGTCTGCCTGGAACTGAAGGTGGTTTTCGGTGAACTGCAGACCTCCAAAACTAAGGACCATGCCTTGCATCATACCATGAGTGCCTGCTGCAACAAGTACCTTGCATCCTCTTTTCTGGAAAGTCAAGTTCCAGAGATTCACAAGCTGCAGGATCTGAGCTACGTTTGTCAGACGCTCCGGCCACAGGTTCTCAGCATGCATGGTGGCGTGGCCGCTGAAGCAGTGGTCAGCGTAATTCAGACTGGACTCCAGTCGTTCATGCTCTTCTGCTGTGAGACTCTGATCTAGTAGGGGCGCTGTGGAGGTGGACAGAATGTAGTACAGGGTGTTGTTGACTGTACGACTAGACGGAGTATGGGCGTCTGTGATCTTTCTGATTTCCACACCTGTAAAGAAGAAAAAGACTATGAAAGATTTCATTTTAGCTTCTTAAAGCAAGTGAACACATGAATAGAAACCCTAAATGGGTCGTCATATACTTATCATTTGACCTTTTTCCCCAAAGTCCACCAATGTTTTTTTTATATTTAGGCATATATATATTTTTATATTTTTTAGAATTTCTTCACATGTGAAATGGGTAACAGCATTTGGACTGCAGGTTTGCTTTTCGACCTTATATTTGCATTGTCCCACCCAAGCAACTCGTATATGTGTAACTGAATAAACGAACAAAGCATTAAATCAAGAAACTGTTCTCTGATTTTTTTTGTAATGACAAAATAGTGAACCAAAATGAAAAAAAGAACGCATTTCTCTTTGCTTTTACACTGTCACTGGCCTTGTAAATTGATTTAAAGGCACCATTGAAACATTTACACACATTTCAGATTAAATCCAAATCCTCACTGACTATCCCTTCACAAAAACTGAATAAACTAAATATTTTTTGCTTTGTTATTAAAGGGTTAGTTCACCCAAAAATGAAAATTATGTCATCAATTATGAACAGCTTTCTGTTCCTCCATTGAAAATGTATGTACGGTATACTGTCCTTGTCCAGAAAGGAAATAAAGACATCATCAAAGTAGTCCATGTGTCATCAGTGGGTTAGTTAGAATGTTTTGAAGCATCGAAAATACATTTTGGTCCAAAAATAACAAAAACTACGACTTTATTCAGCATTGTATTGTCTTCCGGTTCTGTTGTGGATCCGCGTTCAGTGACGCTGCTGACGTGTGTCTGGTGCGCCCGAGCTTCGTTTACAGTCTGAGGGAGACGCACGCTGTCAACAAAACAATCTTCGCAAACATGTCTAAGGATTTCGACACAGAGGAAGACTTGCATTTTTTTGCCCAGCCATATTTATTTGAACCCGAATACACCAGATAACACGTCAGCAGCGTCACTGAACGCGGATTGACAACAGAACCGGAAGACAATACAATGCTGAGTAAAGTCGTAGTTTTTGTTATTTTTGGACCAAAATGTATTTTCGATGCTTCAAAACATTCTAACTAACCCACTGATGTCACATGGACTACTTTGATGACTCTTTATTTCCTTTCTGGACAAGGACAGTATACCATACATACATTTTCAATGGAGGGACAGAAATCTCTCGGATTAAATCTAAAATATCTTAAACTGTGTTCCGAAGATGAACGGAGGTCTTACGGGCTTGGAACGACATGAGGGTCACGATATAATTTTCATTTTTGGGTGAACTAACCCTTTAACAAATTGTCTTCAAATGGTTATTAACGGAACAGCATTTTCCCCAATTTATCTTTTATAATTTTTGCTGTCTCTCAAACGCGCATGCACTCTGTAGATCGTCACGTGGAACAAAACGATACCAAACCAAAAAGCAAGCTGACGGAAGACAGCAGCATAAAGGGACTTCACCCAAACCGTTTTCTTTTTTAGGCAAATTTTCTGTAAAAAGCTGTCCAAACACTATTATCGCCATTTCTTCTTGTCCGTCATCCACCATGTTTGTTTACACTAAAGTCGCGTTTGACTGCGAGAGAGAGTAACCAGACAGTTGATTACCCCATTGACTTCCATAGTAGGAAAAACAAATACTATGGAAGTCAATGGGGGACATTATTCTTCAAAATATCTTCTTTTGTGTTCAGAAACAACTTGAGGGTGAGTAAATGATGAGAGAATTTTCATTTGAGTGAACTATTCCTTTTAAGAAAAACGGCTTCTCAAACAAGAAAAAATAGGGCGGGACTTGATTTGGTCCATCTGGAATTGATTGGATCATTGTTGTTTGCCAATTGCTGTGATCTCATGTGAGTGACAGGTTGCTGAAGGAGAGAGGTTATTGTTATATATAAAATTATGTGCATGGATAAATCATTTATACTAAATGTTCCATAAAAATATGAATTGTAAATTTTGATTTCATGGTAACTTTAAGCTCAACAGATCACACATGCATCCCAGACCTCATCAGCTTTTCCTTCATCTCATTCCTCAAAATAAAATCTAAACAGCAGCATTTACTGTCAAAGGCAGATCTAAAACAAGGTCGCTTGCCACAGCGGCTGGTAGATAAGGCCAATTTACACGGCACTCAATGCTCATATTTGGCTATATGGTTTCCAGTTTTCAAAATGAACTTGTTTACTTTTTTTATTTAGAAGGTTTTGAGTTAAAACTAAAATTTTCTGTTTTTTTTTTCAAAGCATGTTAAACACTTTGGAAAAAGATCAAGTAAATATTGATTAGTCATGAAATGACTTTGTAAGGATTCATTAATTCAGAATTCTACCAAATACATTTTTGGAGCGAACCTGAAATGTATATACTGATATTATTTACAATTAATAATAATTATGTCAGTAGACTGTGCTCGGTCAACTTGCCAGATATGAAGAGATCCACCCATGCTTGCTGGTGATCCTGCATTAATTCTTCCACATTAGCTCGGAGGACATCCGCCATCTCTCTTTTGACTCCTTCTCTGAGCTTGCTGAGAGTCTCGTCCAGTTTCCCACTCTCGGTGGGCTCTGACGTGTGAATCACACTCACCAGGTTTTCTGAGTATTCAGATTTGGGAGGAACCTGGATCTTGGTGCCCAGTCTCTTTGTGGCCACCACCACTAACACAGTGTCCTTCTTTTCCGTGAGCACCCTACCTGAGGACAGCATGAATTCTTTGTCCTCCATCTTCTCGATGGTGCTCCTAAATGAAAGAGACTCCATGACCACGTCAATCGAAACCACATGGTCTGTAGGGTTTGACACGTGAATCCTCTGAAGATAAACATTGGGTCGGCTGCGATGCGCAACAAATTCCTCGCGTACGACTATACAGTCATGAGAATTAGCTGTCAGGAAGCACCGGGAGGACAGCACAGAGCCTTTTCTGTACCACAGCATCAGTCCCCGAGCTTCAGAGAGCGTTCCTGGCACCTGCAACCGCACTATCGGGCTGTAGTCTGTTTGGTGAACCGGTGCAGACCCAGGCTGTGAAGATGAAGCTACCCAAAGTTTGTTAGAGTCCACATCCACCAGAAAATGTCCATTACCGACCACAACTGGAACTGATTCTTTGGTTTGGGGGTTAAGAACCACTCCCTCCCCTCTGTCAACAAGCGAAACCCACCTGTGAAGATCAGTCTGCAAACACACCCCCGCAGCTCCCCCAGGCTCCCTAGACATGTTTAGAAACTTCAGGAGCCCATCTGAGCTCAAATACCAGTAGAAGATGAGGAAGAGCAGTAATCCAACCAAAACACGGCGGGCCCAGCTGCTCGATAGCAAACCAGGCAGCCCCTTTAACCTCTGCTGAAGCCACATGATCTGCCTTTTGCTCCAAATGCTCTTTGACGGTTTAAACATAAACTACTGCTGTTGTCTTCAGTTGAGGCCGGGTGATATATATGCTATATAGGGCATCAGTGACTTCCTGACAGCAATAAAAGCTGGGAGTGGCAAACAGCTTTGACAGGCATAGTAGCTATCAGGCTTAACTTGAAGAGCAAAACGCGCGAAAAAAAAAAAAGGTATTAGTAATTTCTTCGGCCACAGAGTGCTGGAAATCCCCAGTTCCTCGTTCAAAAAGCAAACATATTTTTCAAGAACTTGGTCTTGAAGTTATCTTCCGCTAAAATAAATGCAAAACCAACTCCAGACATTTGTCAAACGAGCCACTTCTGTCTGCAGAGAGTTTGCATTAATTCCAGTTGGTGTTGTCAGGCTAGTCAGCTGACCAGTCAACACATTTCTGCTCACCCATTTCGCGTTCACTCTTCAAGATTTACTTTATCGCGTCGAAGCAATGTTTGCCTCACGTACTTATGTGTGTCTGCTAGAGTGTATGTCCTCGTTGTTTGTTTGCTGTATCATGTTGCTAAGTGTACATGTCATCTCTTAGCCAGCAGACATCTCTGTTTGTGGAAGGAAACCTGGCTGCCGTAAAAATACCGGAAGTGTCGCAGTCCAAGACCTGTCGTAGTTCAAAGCGCTTCAAATCGCTGTTCTACAATCAGCCGTTGGGAGCCTGTGTTACGTCATTGCAACGTAGCAGTGGAAGACGAAACTGATCCTGGACCAGTACATAATACTGACCTGGAAACTTCTAAACGGCTTTACGGCACTAGTGATCACTGCTGCCTTTCCTGTTTTTGAGTTAATGGATGTGATACTTAAAAGATGATATTATGCAATATAAAGAAATATATAATTATATCGAGAAGCATAGTGGTTTTTTTAATGTGAACAAAAGCTAATAAACATGCTGCAAGATTTTAGATACCTTTATAGGGGTGTATTCAGGTTGATCGGGACACTTTTTCTCAGTCACCTCAATGGCAAAAAGCGTCCCAATCAACCTGAATTCAACCCAAGAACCCCACCTATATATATATATATATATATATATATATATATATATATATATATATATATATATATATATATATATATATAAAATTGCAGAAGTAGGGGCGAATTCAGGTAATTGGAAATAATAATATCTAATAATAATTTATGAATTTTGATAATAGGATTATTATAATTAGATCTGAACCACTAAAGGTATGGATTTATTGCTGTTAATTGCGTATCTTATTTTTGTAATGTATTTTATCTCTCTGGCTACATCTATTTTAATATTTTGAATTACTGTACATTTTTGTGACACATTAATATCAAGTTTACTATAGAGAAAATAGTTCAGTATAACACTTAATATATTCAAATAATTTCTCAATTTTAATAATAGGATTCTTACAATAAGATATTTCCTGAACCACTTTATGGATTTGATGTTTTTATTTTATTTTATATTTGTAATGTATTTTATCTCTGTGGCTTCATCTCTTTTAATATTTTGATACTGTACATTTTAGTGATTTGAGTATAATGAAGAGAAATTTCAACTTATACGTAGCTTTCCTAAATGTCAGGTCAGGGCAAGTTGTCACATTTTTTAGGCAAGTTCATGTGTTTGAATTTACGGATTGTTACTGAGCTTTTTCTCCCTCTGCTCGTGTGGTCAGGGATCGAGGGGTGGAGAAAGACAGAAGTGGGCAGGCTGTGTGTGTTTGTACGGGAATATAACTAACTTTCTCTCGAGGAAAGGCCTTATTCCATCAGTCGCCGTTACTATTAGAGGTTTGAAGAATAACGGACCTGAACATGAGAGAAGTTCTGCTCTTTCTCGTGTGTTTGTTTGCGTCCTTTTCTCCGCTTCACTGCAGTCAGCAGGGCTTGATCCCCGAGGGTAAGGCTTTGATTTCAGCTTATAGATAACCACACCGCTTCTATACATGATAATGTAACTCGCTACTACAATTTCACCATGATACATGGTAAGGGATCGTTGCAAACCTGACTTGCTAGGTAAAGTTAGCCAGGCGTTACGGACTCACGCCGCTGACGTGGACCCTTCGTGCAGATATCAGTGCAGAGATCAGCGAGTTTATGAGGATAAATTACAACAAAATCACATTACACTAAAACAGTGCAAACAGTTTACTTCATGTCTCAAACTGTAGTTGTGCGCAACATGAGCAACAACAATGCGCAATGTGAGTGCAGAGGACATTTATTACATTGTACCTACGCGTAGTTTTCTCGTAACAGATTTATTGTCTTGGTAAACATGAATATGCTTGTAAATTGCATTGCAAAAAAAAAAAAAAAAAATCACACGTTAGCATATGATTAAAAAACGTATTCGTATTAAATGTCACTTTTGCGGCAGAACTGGCTTTCTTGCGGCTGGTTTAAATACTGAATACTTATGTTAATATTCCAGCTGTGCACGGAGTTCCTCACAGGAGAAGATGTGGGAAACCCATTAGGATGTGCTCTTCCAGCACGTAGGCAGGGGAACTGAGCAGCTGTGGAGAAGTTTGACGGAGTTATCCACTCTGATTTGTGTTTCTCTGTCTCAGGAGATCTTCTAGTGCTGACTGTTGCCACGAAGGAGACTGACGGCTTCCGACGGTTTTTGAGATCCGCAAAACAATTCAATTACTCCATCAAGGTAAGGCACCTTTTTTTCCAACAGTTTCCCTTTGAAAAAGTAATGAACATATTGCAATGTTCAGCTAAATATTGAGCATGTTAAAGTGGAAAGTGGAAAGTTACTGAGAAGTCTTTATTTATTGTAGCTTTATTGGGTAAATCCAAGTTATGATCCAAGGAAGCCTATTAATAAGATTATATATCGCAATATACATTGCAATATGGCATTATTTTCATGACAATCACATTTTCTTTCAAAGTGCTAATGATCGTGATTAATTAAATACATTTCTTTTTAATAGCAGATACTATGACATATGCTTATAGTCCAAAAGTTTAGGTTTAGTTTTCTTAATACAAAATGTTATTTCTCATGATTCCAGGGTGAAATATGAACCTGACATTTTTGTTAGATGGGCTCTGTAACACAGTTTAGTCAATGGAAGCTTGTTTCCACCACTGAATAAATAAATATTGTGACGTTTTATCTCACAATTCGGACTTTTTCCCCCCAGAATTGCATGATATAAACTCGCAATTGCAAGTTACAAAGTCAAAATGGCGAGATAGTCTCGTAATTCTAAGAAATAACGTCAGAATTGCAGGTTTTTCTCTCGCAATTCAGACTTTTTTTGCTCAGAATTGTGAAAGTGCCGTGAAGGCAAAGTATGGTAACTAGGTTTAGATACTGTTTTGAAGACTCTAACCATTGGGCCACAACTGCCCTGTGATATAAACTTGCAATTCGGACATTTTTTCTCTCAGAATTGTGAGATATAAACTCGCAATTGCAAGATAAAAATGTCAGAATTGTGAGATAAAAAGTCGCAATTATATTTTTAAAAAATTTATTCCGTGGCGGAAAACAAGCTTCCATAATAGTCTGCAGACAGATGCCTGACATTCTTTTGTCTTTTTGTGTAGGTTCTCGGAAGGGGTGAAACATGGAAAGGTGGAGATTACATGTCACCTCCAGGTGGAGGGCAGAAAGTGCGCCTGCTGAAGTCTGCTCTGGAGGAGAAACACGAGGAGAACAAAGTCATTCTTTATGTGGACAGGTAGTTATGTCCATTATAAATAAATACATTATATTTGGAGTGTGTTGACATGCATGTACTCTTTCAAGCATCATGTTTGATCATTGACAGTAACAATAATTTACGCTCTGGCTTTCCACAGCTATGATGTAATCTTTTCTTCTGGTCCAAAAGAGCTGCTGAAGAAGTTTCAGCAGGCCAGACACAAAGTTGTGTTTTCCGCCGAGACTCTTATCTGGCCAGATCGTCACCTGGAAGACAAACATCCTCATGTCAGGGAAGGGAAGAGGTTCCTTGGAGCAGGAGGCATGTTTTTCTCTTTTTTCAATTATCATTGTAGAGCTTTAGACATACTGAATGCTCTGTTAGCTTAATTTTGTATAGTTTTAGATGCTAAATGAATTTGGATGCAAAAAAATCAGTCCTCCTGGGAAGTTTTTATTAACGAGTTGGAAATGCGTATTTACAACGTTCAAATCACTTTAGTTGAAATAAGATGTCAATGTCTTTTTTTCTATAAAACAGCAATATTTTGCACATTATGCACATTAGGTGTGTTTTTGCTTTTTAAATGTTTTTATGTAGGTACTGCAACCTTAATTGTTATATATATTCAATGGAATTTGTAAATTAAACTTAGCTAGTTTTAATATGTATATATACACACAGCCCGGCCAAAAAAAGTCGTGGTTTGGATTTAAATAGGCAAATGTCTATGATTGGATCATTATTGCAGTGATTATTATGTTTCTAGCATGTTATATTTTTGGTTAAGTTCTTCTAATCCTAATTGATGGAGTGTGTAGCTTTTCATTTCTTAAAGGTTCTCTAAGCGATCCTGGGTGACGTCACTTCTTGTTGACGTTCGAACTATTGTCAAACAAAACGGAGGCTAGCTAGACCCTCCCTCCTCCTCATCCGCACACTAACCCCCCAAACCCTTCTTGTCGGTCATTGGCTGGAACAGTTTGTTATGTTTTGGGGAGCGGGTCGCTGCAGTTTGTTTTTGGTGCTGTTTGTGAAGCATGGGCTGTCTACAGAGATCGCGTTTCTTTACAGTGTGTTCAGGGGACAGGCAGCCAGCGGATAGTGAGGAGATGTTTGCTGTATGTGACAAAAAATGTTTTGGCCTAAAAAACACATGACATCGCTTAGAGCACCTTTAAACAACCATGTAGGAAGACACATCATGGCCATATTCCAGGATGATAATATCAAGACTCATCAGACTCACACTGTGAAAGAATAGTTGTGAGGAGCATGAAGAATCATTTTCACACATGAATCGGCTCCTCTGAATCCAGACTTTAAATTCACTGAAAGTCTTTGGGATGTGCTGGAGACTTTACAGAGAGCTGGACTCTTGCATTGTCAATACAAGATCTTGTGAGTCAAGCACTCTGTAAAGTCGATAAATATATATATATACATTTACAATACAGACACTACAATCATTGTATCCGCCATGTTTTCTAACTGACAAACA